CTTGCGTGCCGCCTTCGAATCATGCAGAAGAAGGTGAAGGCGTCCCAGAAAGGCCCCCGAGTCCACCCTGCTTAGGTAAACGGACTTGCCCGCTGCGGGGTCTTGGTCTAGTCGGTCTCGCGGGGCACCAGGCCCGCGGCGTTGCTGCATGATCAGCTCGATCGCCTCCCCAACCCCATCCTCCTTGCCCAACTCTCCCACCATGATCAGGTCCGCGATGCAACCCATGCCCGAGCTCCTCGCGATGCCTCTGCGGCGACTGGTCGCCATCGCCTCCTGCGCCGCCGCGGGCGCAGCAATGGGGCGCCCACCACAGGGCCAGTTCAGGCAGCTCCAGCAGGATGAATAGCAAAGCGCACATCTGCAGCTCAGCTGCAGTTGCAAACCGGGAAACAACTTGCCGAACAGGAACAGAAAATGACAGGGTAGCAGCAGGCGCAGCGCAACCATGGGATGAGGCCGCGCGCATGATACTCAAATTTCAAAACTTGCTCACGCGTTCTGGTCAGCAACACAACTCGGCATCAAACGCGCCAGCTTCCCACCCGATGGGAAAGGGGATTCCACTGTGTAGCAGCAGCTGGCCCAAGAGGAGTATAATGACGAATCACAAGGAAGAGCGCCGTTAGCCAACGTGGACCACAAAGAGTGTGTTCCTAGCATTCTATGGCGTGCAATTAATTTCTGTTCGCAGCGAGTAATCAACTCCACTGCTCGCGCAATCACCCCGCCCACCCACCCGCGACTTGATTTGCGTGAGCCCATGCGGCGGCGATTGCGACGCGTGCTCGGCGCTGGCTCGTGCATCCCTGCGGCCGCGCTAGCGCGCGCAGGCTCGCGCGCGCGGCCGCCAGCTAGTCTGGCGCGACCGACGCGGCCGCGGCGGCGCTGACCGCCGGGCGCTTCCCAGCGGGCACTTCGGTGCGAGTCGGCGACTTGGGCGGGCGCGGTATCGTGGCAACGTCGAGAGCGATCGACGCGGGAATGGTCGCGGCGATTCTGGTGACGATGATGACAACGACGACGGCCAGGTCAGTGACGGCGCCGGTGCGGATCAAACCGACGACGATGACGGCGTCCTCGCGTCGGCGGTGAAGGTTTTGGAAAGACTTCGATATGCGCGCGCCGCCGTCGCGCGAGAGTGCCCCGCATGGCGTGATTTGACACGGATCGCGCCCCCACCCCCCCCGCGCGCGCCAGGGCGCTCGAATGATGTCGACGCGCGGCGGCAGAGGCCTGGTGGGCATAACTCCATGAACATGTTGAACAACTCGTGGTCTTCTGGAGAATTATTCACTAAAGCCGAGCGCAGGCTTCTCTGAAAACTGGCGTTGCAGAGCCACTGGTAGTGTTGGGGCGCTCGATTTTGAAATCCTAACGGAACCTAGCGTTGTTGAAAAATGTCGGCGCGCGCGCGCTGTCGCGCGCGCGCGTCGCCCTTTTTCTGGCACGGGGTTTTTGCGACAGCGCGCGCGCAGGGGCGTTCGAGCGATTTCGACATGCGCGCGCGAAAAGCCTGCGCGGTGGCAATGTGTAAAACACCATGAAGAACCGATGGATTCCTGGAGAATTCGCGCGAGGGCTGCGCGACGCCAAGTTTTTCATGTTTTTGTTTGTGGAATGTTTTCCGGGCGCTCAATTGCGAAATCCTTGCGGGGCCTATCTGTTTAGGGGGATTCGGGGATGCGCGCGCGACGACGCGCGTGCGTGCAGTTCGCCCTGTTTGCCGCGCAGAACTATCGTGCACAGGTGACTTTTGACATGCGAGTGCGCGCGCGAACTTTTTTGCAAGGGGCGGGGGGGGAACCGTTGCCCGTTTTGCTGGGGCGATGTGAATTCACATTTCGAGTAGGCGATGGGGCAGAATCGCATTGAAACTGCAATGCGACGGGATGGCCCGCGAAGTCGGGGGGCGGGGCGGCGCGTCCCAATCGTCTTCTAGAGCGGAGGATCTATGTGGAACACTGCGTGGCGCAGTCCATGCGGCGGGACATGCGCGGCGCAGTCCATGTGGTGGATTTCGCCAATTCCCGACCTAAAATTGTCAGCTCCACTGCTCGCGAAATAGTCCCACCCGCCCACCCGCAATCTGGTCCAAAAAGCGGCGGCGATTGCGCTGAGTGCTCGGCGTTGGCTGGTGCATTTCTGCGGCCGCGCCAGCCCGCGCGCGCGCAGCGGCTGGCTAGCTTGGCGCGACCAGCGTGGCCGCGGTGGCGCTGACCGCCGGGCGCTCCCCAGCGGGCACTCCAATGCGAGTCGGCAACTTGGGCGGGCGCGGCGTCAGGGCAACGTCGATAACAGTAGACAAATATGATGACATTGGCGATGCTGGCGGCGACGTTGACAACGACGACGGCGCGGCCAGCGACGGCGCCGATGCTGATCGCGCCAGCCACGATGTCGGCGATCAAGGTTTTTGGAAGGAGTTCGACATGCGCGCGCGACCTACGCGCGAGAGTGGTCCGCGCGGTGTTATTTGGCAGGGGTCGCGCCCCCTCGCCCCCATCCAGCGCGCGCGCGCGCAAAAGCGTTCGAAAGATTTCGGCGCGCGGCGCGAGAGGCCCATTTGGCAGGGCTCCATGAACGCGTTGAAAACCAAATGGATTTCTAACGGATTCCGAACGCAAGCTTTAGAAAACACCGACACTGCGAAACTACTAGTTGTATGTTTTACTACTGTTTCGGGGCACTCGGTTTTGACATCCTCACGAACCCTATGGATTTTCAAGATTTCGGCATGCGCGCGCGACGACGCGCGCGCGCGTGCGCGTCGACCCACTTGTTGCAGACGGTAATCACGACAGCGTGCGCGCGCAAGAGCGCTCGAGCGATTTTGACATGCGCGCGCGAAGCCCGTTCGGTCGCAGTTTGTGAACATATTGAACGACCGATGGCTTTCGCAGGAATTCGCAAGAGCGCGAGCGTAAGTTTTTTTGCCTGCGTGGGGAAATCCTCATTGCGAAACCATGTTTCTATGCTTTTGGTTTGACTATCGATCCTGACACTGTTGCGAAACCAAGGGTTGTTGGACGATTTCGGCACGCGCGCGCGGCGGCGCGCGCGTGCGCACTGCGCCCCGCGTTTAACTGATGAGTTTTGATACGCGAGCGCGCGTATCTAATTTTTTGCAGAGGATGATGGGGGAGGGGTGGGGCGATCACGGCCCGGCTGAAATGGTATGAACTCAGATATAAAATGGACGATGGGGCACAATCGTGCGTGCATTAAAATGTGAAAAGGCGGGCGGATAAATCCGGGGCGCAGGTGGATGGCAGAATCAAATTTCCTTCCAGCCAGGAGAATATAGGTGGCGCGGTCTGTGATGTACACAGTCTGATATGCAATGCAATGCGCGATCTATGTGATGCAGTCGGCGCGGCGGAATCGACACGTTGCACTTGATTCAGCAAACTGCCCACTCCACTGCTCGCGCAATCGACCCGCCCGCCCGCCCACCACTTGGCATGCGCGTTCCCGCGCGGCGGCGACTGCGACGCGTGCTTGGCGTTTGCTCGCGCATCCCGCGGCCGCGCTAGCGCGCGCGGGCTCGCGCGCGCAGCGGCCTGCGAGCGCGGCGCGACCGACGAAGCCGCGGCGGCGACGACCGGCGGGCGCATCCCAGCGGGCACTCCAGCGGGAGTCGGCGACTTGAGCGGGCGCGGCATCATGGCGACGACGAGAGCGGCAGGCGCGAGGATGATAATGGCGAGTTTGGCGACGATGATGACAGTGACGACGGCGTGGCCAGCGACGGCGCCGATGCCGATCGCGCCGACGACGATGGCGGCGCCCCCGCGTCAGTTCGGAAGTTTCAAAAGACGCTCGACACGCGCGCGCGGCCGACGCGCGAGCGGCCCGCGCGGCCTCGCTCGTCGCGGGCCGCGCCCCCCCCAGCCCGCGCGCGAGGGCGCTCGAATGACGTCGAGATGCGGCGCGAGAGGAGGCCCGCGTGGCATAATTTAGCGACGACGTTGAAAACCCATGGCAACCTCGAGAATTCGGCAGGCCGCGAGCGCACGCTGCGTCTTGAAAACTGGCGTTGCAAAGCCATGTTTGCTTTTTATGCGTCCGGGGCGCACGATGTTGAAATCCCGACGAGACATGGGGTTTCCTCAAGATTCCGGCGCGCTCGCGCGAGGGCGACGCGCGAGCGCTTCACCAGTTTTTTGCTGCAAGGGCTTCTCGCGACAACGCGCGCGCAGGGGCGTTCGGGCGATTTCGACGCGCGCGCGCGAAAGGCCCGGTTGGCAACATGTTACGTACACGCGTGCATTGTTACTCTTTTGTTGAAAAGACAAAACGTAATAATGGGCAGTTTCCTCTGGAACGCGCTGGAGCGCGGGCGCGATTTCTGCATCTGTTGGGGGAAGTTCGCGCTTCGAAACCATGTGCTCGTAGATCGTGGATTTCCCTGGGGCGCGCGATTTTGAAGTGCTCGCGTGGGAGATTATGAGATGCGCGCGCGACGACGCGCACGCGTCGCCCCATCCGTTGCATGGGGGCCCTCGGCAACTCGATGATTCTCGATCAACGCGCGTTGAGGTGTGTGTGTGTGCGTGTGCGTGTGCGTCTGCGTGTGCGTGTGTGTGTGTGTGTGTGTGTGTGTGTGTGTGTGTGTGTGTGTGTGTGTGTGTGTGTGCGTGTGCGTGTGCGTGTGCGTGTGCGTGTGCGAGTGTGTGTGTGTGCGTGTGTGTGTGGGGTTCTCCTCCTCGGGAGCGCGGGCGGGCCTCCGCGCTCGAAGCTCTCTGAGCCTGAACACCAGCGGAGCGGCAGCAGCTGGTGGGGCCCCCAGGGACCTCGGGTCTGAAGGAGGCCCCTGAAATAACAAAGAATCTCTACGCCCCCTCGCAGGGGACTCCTCTCTTCATCCTCAAAACGATGCGGTCGGCCCTTCTCCGACCTCATGCCGCTCGCGAAGACCCGCGAGCGGTCCTGGCAGCGGGCAAGCTCGCGCTGACCGCGAGCGCCCGCGCGGGCGAAGGCTCAAGGCTCACTCACTCATGCTTCTTCGCGAAGCACACCTCACACCTGCGGCGCGCCACCAGGCGCCGCTCCACGTAGAGAACTCCCTCGGGAGCTCGGCGTCGCCTGCTCTGGCGCACCGTCCTGTCAGTCTCAGGCAGGTGGAATACCCAGCTCCCGTTCATCATCTTTGTCATGGCCTCTGGGTCGCACTCTCCTCCCGATGAGGAGCTCGCCCTGGGCGCCTGAGGCGCACGGGCAATGCGCCCCCGCAGTGCCCAGATTGCCGTCAGGAAGCCCAGCGCAAAGGTGAAAACCCAGCTGAGCAGCAGCATCACGGGCACGATCATGAAATCGCGATTGTCGTCATCAGTGCCTCCAGCACCACCTCCATCTTGAACTCCTTCTCCTCGTTGAGCTTGCAGGGCCATACACAAGGCCAGGATCGTTGTGTTGACGCTCGGGCTGCTCGCGATCCTCCCACCGCACTGCGTGCCACGAGCTGTCCGCCCCAGCTTCTCGATCACAGCGTTCACCTCGACCTCGCGAACAGCTCCCAAATCTCCGTTGAGTCGGCGTAGTCCCACTTGCTTGCAGAGCTGCTCATGAACCTCGGATGTGTGTGGCTTCGTCCCAATGTCACTGGGATTCTCGGTACCCTTGCACTTCAGCACCTTCAGCCCAAGCATGCGCGTGACCTGCTGGACCCAGAGTGCTCGCGTGTCCAGGTGGCGGACCCCCCCGACGCCCTGCCTCAAGGACATCGCGCGAGCTGCTGAAGAGTCCGTCTCCAAGGTCCACTCAACACGAAACCCGAACCATGTGAGCACACCCCTGAGCATCTTGCCGCCCATGGGCACAGTGCTCAGCGCGTAGAACTCGCTCTCTCCAGAACTCACTGCAATCAAGTCCTGCCTCCTCACTAGCGTCGCCAACGCCGCACCATCAGCATACAGAACCCCGCAGGTCGTGCTCTTGCGCTTCGCCTCCTTGCCTCCGTGGTTACTGCCGGAGAAACTCCTCAAGTGGGCCACGCCCTTCTTGCAGATCCTCATGTCAACCTTCGGGATGAACACGCCCAGGTCGGATGTCCCAACCAAGTAGCGTCCAAGGCGAAGCAGTCTTTTTCCAGAAGAGCTCCGTAGGTGCCGCCAGGTCAGATGCCAGCATCCCCGCGGCCCGCTGGATGTCGGTGCGATCTTGCGCCAGGTAGAGGCCACTCCCCACGCACGAACGATGCCTCGCGATCTGCTCGTCGACGAGTGGCGGGGAGTGCTCCAGGGCCTCTTCCGACCCCAAGTCTGGAGTCTTGACTGGATTCGCGCCCTTTCAGCCCTAGCTCCGTGATAATGTTGAGGGCGTGCTTCTCGTGAGGCTGCGCGAAGATGCCCTCGTCCGTCTTGATCCTCGTCCGCTTCAAATACTCAACGCGGCCCTCGGTGACGACGTCGCTGTCCTTCAACTTCAGCTTGGCCCTGGTCATCGGAAGGAAGCTCTCGACCTCGCTCTTGCGGGCCGTGCAGTAGAAGTCGTCCATGTGCAGCTCCAGGCCCAGCCTCGTCATCGTCTTGCGGTAGAACTGCGGACAAGCCTCGTTGCGCTCGAAGCCGCACTCCAGGAGGCGCTCAGCCGCGAAGCTGATCCACTCCCTGCTCGCAGCTCTCCTGCCAGGCAGCTGCTTCTCGAGCTTCCAGACCACGTCCGTGCTAAGACCAGCCTTGGCCCTTGCAGCTAGCCACTCAGGTGGCGGGTCGCAGTAGAACTCCTCCTTCTCAGGAACCTGATAGTACGCGCCCGAGACGTCGCCAACCGCAACCACCAGTCGATCATCTGGATCATCATCGTCCTTCTGGCTGAGGAAGTCAATGATGCGGCTGGCCAGGGACGTCGAGCCCTTGTCGAGCTTTAAGCCCTTGTCGAGCGCCTCAGCCGCCTCCTCCTGAGGGAAGCCGCTGCTGTCCCAGTGCGTGAGCTCCTCGGCCGCGAGGAGGGCCTTGTAGTCCAGCGCCTCGCTGATGCCCTCGATGGCCCCGACGATCGGGCCCTCGTAGCGTCCCGTCTTGGCCTCGTGCCACCCCAAGACGGCATCGTTGTTCGGCGATCTCGCGCTGGTTGCCGTACCCGAGGAGCTCGCAGCAGCAGGCATCGGGGCGTCTGGCTCACCACTGGCACCAGCCCCCTCGGGGCCTCTTGGTCCACTCTCCGAGCTTCCGCCAGCTCCTGCAGAGCTTTCCGCCTCCCCGCCAGGTCTCGGCGGGGCCTCTGGAGCCTGGGCTTCTGGGGCCTGACGACGTGAGTCTGGTGGGCGCTCAGCTGAGGCCTGGGGGTCGGGAGGGCTCGTCCCCGACTCAGGACCCTCGGGGCCAGGACAGGCTGAGCCCTCCTGGCCCTCTGCCCCAGACGGGGGAGCTCCTGGAACTGCCGCCCACGGCCTCCAGCGGCGTCGGCGCGACCTCGCCCCGGCCGCCGTCCATGACGAGGGACCGAGGCATGTGCGCGACCTTCTCCCTCCAGGGCTCGCCGCAGACCTTCAGGAGGAGCTCCTTGTCGTGGCGCCCCCCCTTGGGCATCCTGCGGACGGCCCTGCAGGTCACCTTGCCAGCACTCGTCAGGGTGATGTGCTCGTCGTTGTTGGTCGTCTTGCCGACCCAGATCCCCTTGGCCCAGGCAGTGTCCGCCTTGGTCAGCCTGGGAACCAAACCTCCCATCGAACGTCGCTGGCCCGTCTTGCTGACTGGAACCCTCGCCATCACCGTCTCAGCAAAGGGAACCACTGCTCCAGTGTAGTTCACGCCGTAGACCGCGAAGTGAGCCGTATAGCCGCCAACACCTCGCGGGTGCCAGTTCGTCACGTTTGCAGCATGGTGGGCGAGGAACGGCCAGAGCGGGGAGTGCGGCGTGAACTTGATACCGCAGTTCATCTCCACCTGCACCCTATTGGCCTTCAAGCGGCCTCGCCACCAGCGGACCCGCGTCTCGATGCAGCCCATCGACTTGCTGTCCCGCGTGCGACCCTGCGAAACTCTGGTCTCCAGGTTCTCCTCGTTCCTCGCGTTCACGACCTTATCCCGGAGAGCCTTCACCGCAGGCTCCGTGTCGCACCTGAGCTCTGGCTTCTGGTGCGCGAGCTGCTTCATGAACCTCATGAGCTGCTTCGCGGTGTGATCGTCTGCGGCCTTGCTCCCCAGCGCAGTGCCGTAGAGCAGACCAGTGCTGCGATCTGCAGCCACAAGAGATGTCCCGAGACCCTTGTCGGCCTCGTCGCAGAGATTGTCCGTGTCCTTAGTGCCGTTGAAGGCCCAGTCGAAGAAAATCAGCTCCTCTCTGACATTACTGCCGTGCACGGGCTGCTTGACGTGCGGGTCCTGAGGTCCCAGTCCGAACACGCACGCAGGGCACCACTTCTTGAACACCGCGTGACCAGCAGCCTCGTGTTGCTCCTTCTGAACCTCCGTTGGAGCATAGGGAGCCTCGACGACCTTGGCCTCTGTCACAGGCTGGCCGTCCACTTGCTGTTGGTAACGCTCCTCGACCGCCTTCTTGAAGTCCAAGTCCTGCTTGTGCTTTAGCTCAGCATGCTTGAGCCTCGTCCACAACTGCTCCTTCGTGCCGTAGATCGCGGCCCCGAGCTCCTTCAAGCGCTGTCGGAGCAGGTCGACTCGCGAACCTGGCCCGAGCTCTGCTCCCTCAGGGTCCCTCGCAGGGCGGGGGGCCGCCCCTGGCCCTGGCTGGCCCCCAGGCGGACTGGCTGCCGCCGGTGGGGCTGAAGCGGGGGCGCCCCCTCCAGACCCCGACGAAGCCGACCCAGCACCCTCCGCCATGGGCACAGGCGCTGCAGCTTCATCAGCCTGGACGGCCCCCTCGTCCTTCATCACCGCGTCCTCGTTGGCGGCAACGATGCCCGACTGCTGGTCGGGATAGCGGCCTAGTAACCGCTTGGTCTCCTTGACCACATCCCTGGCGTCCTCGGGGTCCTTCTGCGCGCTGGCAGGGACCCCGAACGTGTTCTTTCTTCGCACCATCGGGATCTTGACATACCTCCAGTCAGGCTTGGAGTAACCAACGTAGCACCCGTCATTGTGCGAGTAGACCACGTCAAAACCTGCATCATAGACTCTGCCAGTGCTGAGTAGGTTCCTAGCGAAGGGGCCGACCTTGAAGTTGGCCTTGCAAACCACTCGACGCCCCATCGTGAAGGGAACCATGGCCTCACCATAAAGAGAGATCTTCTGCTTCTGGGCGGCGATCAGCCTGGTCGATGTCGGCTCCACTGCGCTATGCCTCGCAAAGCTTCGTCGTGCACAGTGCTCGTCAGCGCCACCATCCAGCATCAGAAAGTCGTCAACGTCGTACTCCTTGAGTTTGGCCCCGTCGCCGATGGCCATGATGATCGTGTCGTCGCAGGCGTGGCACGCGAACTCGTCCTCCAGCTGGTCTCCGAAGCTCTCGCAACCGTCGTAGCCCACCTGGTGCCCGTTCGACTCGTGGTCGACGTAGTCCACCTGGTGCCCGTCTGAGTCGTGGTCGACGATGTCCACCTGGTGCTCGTCCGAGTCGTGGTCGACGTAGTCGCTCTCCAGCGCCATGCAAAAGCCGCACTCGACAGAGTCGTCTTCGCTGGGCACGACCATCACGTTGACCTCGGCGGCCTCCTTCTCGACGATGGTGACAGTACCCTTTTTCCTGCCCTCCTGATCTTTCTTGAACTTGAAGCAGTTGATATTGATGTGGCCTTTCTTCTTGCAGTAGTGGCATGTCTTATCCTTGTCACTCGACGGCGCGTTGCCACCGCGTCCGCCCTTCGATCCGCCCTTGCCGCCATCGCCCTTGCCACCCTTGGAGTCGCCCTTGGCGCCACCTTCGCCCTTGAACCAGCACTTGTCGGCCGTGTGGCCGAGCTTCTTGCAGAGGTTGCAGCGCGGCTTGTCGAGCCCGATCGCGTCAACCTGGCCGACCGCATCCACCTGCATCGGCGCTTGGCCTCCTCCTCCCGCCTCAGGTGGCCCGGGGGCGAAAGCCCTGGCCATTTCTCTCCATGCAGTGCTCGCGAATCTTTGTCCGCATCACCGCGTAGTTCTCTTTGACCTCCTGGCTGGCTCCGTCGAGCACCTTCCTGATCGGCAGCGGCGCATAGCCCAAGATGGTCGCGCACTTGAGCCTGTCGCTGATCGCGTCGTGGCTCGCCAACTCATACTGCGTGACGAGACGACCCCAGTCGCGCAGCACCTCCGCGAAGCTTCGCCTCGAGTGATCATCACTCGCCCACCACTTCGGCTGCGCGATCGTCGTCAGCAGGCCGTGCTCCGAAGTGCCGCCGCTCGGGCGGTAGTCAGCATAGATCTGCCGAAGAGCCTCGAACCCATTGCCAGCACCAGCCAACTTGGTCATCGTCTGCGCTTTCCCGCGCATCTTCGTCGCCAGCAACGTGATCATGTTCCTGCTCAACTCCAGCGTCTCCGCGTTCTGGATGTCCTCTGCAGCTGTCGGACCCGCGTGGCCCACCGCAGCGTCATAGAGTGACTTCCACCCCATCTCAGTCACCTCTGCCTCCAAGGTGAAAAAGAAACTCTCGAACTCATCCTGGCCGCCATTGAAGCTCTCATGGCTTCTGATGTCCTCCAGCGACCAGATCTGGCACGTCCCGTTCTGCGTAGTCGCACTCGCCATCGCGAGACCCGTCCTGGCGGAGCTGTCCACCCTCAAGCCTTCGTCGTGGTCGATCGCCACCGCGGGCCCAGCCCGCGGCCGACGCCCTGCTGCCACAGCAGAGCCAAGCCGCGGACCGCTCTCGTGGAGCAGCTCACGGCTCCGCTACCATGTTTTCTCCTCCTCGGGGGCGCGGGCGGGCCTCCGCGCTCGAAACTCTCTGAGCCTGAACGCCAGCGGAGCGGCAGCGGCTGGTGGGCCTCCCAGGGACCTCGGGTCTGAAGGAGTCCCCTGCGATATCAAAGAATCTTTACATTGGGGCGCAGGTGCCGGCCTGTCCGGGCTGGCGTACATTTGACTGTGGATGGGCGACGGGGCGGGTTCGCATGTTTTTACATGTATATATACAATGTATCTACAGGAGCTGAACCGTTCGTTCCGAAGGGGCGGGGTGGCGGGGGCGGGGGGCGGGGTGGGTGGGCGGGTGCGCGCGCGCGCGTGTGTGTGTGTGTGTGTGTGTGTGTGTGTGTGCGTGGTGTGTGGTGGGGGGGGGTGGGGGGGGTGGGCGGGGGGTGGGGGGGGGTGGGGGGTGGGGGGGGGGGGGGGTGGGGGGGCGGGCCGCTCATCTAGCATGGTATATATATATATATATATATATATATATATATATATATATTAAAATACATATATGCACATACATATATACATATATATATACATATATGTATGTATAACTATATATAGGTTATACACACTACGTTGCGCGATAGATGTGGCCCGACGCACGCGGTGCAATGCGCGCCGCGCAAACTGCGCGGCGCAGGCCACGCGGCGCGATCTACGCGTTGCAACCCACACGTGGTGCTCGCAGTTGCCGCGCCCACTGCTCGCGCAATCACCCTGCCCACTCGCCCGCGACCTGGTTTGCAAAACCCACGTGACGGAGATTGCGGTGGGCGCGCGGCGTTGGCCGGCGCATCTCGCAGGTCGCGCTCGACCGCGCATGCTCGCGCGCGCAGCGGCCGGCCAGTGCGAGACGACTGGCGCGGCCGCGGCGGCGCGGGCCGCTGGGCGCTCCCCAGCGGGCTTTTGACTGCGAGCCTGTGACTTGGACGGGCGCGGCATCGCGGCGACGCCGACAACTGTCGACGCGACGATGGGAGCAGCGATGGCGGCGATGCAAAGTTTGGAAGAAATTCGAAACGCGCGCGCGGCCGACGCGCGCGAGCGGCCGGCGCGGCATTATTTGACGCAGATCGTGCCCCCCAGCGCGCGCGCAAAGACTTTCGGATGAGTACTGCATGAGGCGCGAGAGGCCCCCCTGGCAGAATTCGATGACTTCCTCGACAACTGATGTTGTGCCATGTGTTTTATATGCGTTCGGGACATTATTGCTTGAAGTCCTGACGAAGCCTAAGGTTTCTGACAGATCCAGGCATGCGCACGGCGACGTGCGCGCGCAACTCCCTACCTTTTTGTCCAAGATCTTCTTGCGACAACTCGCGCGCAAGCGCGGTCGGGCTATGTCGACATTCGCGCGCAAAAAAAAAAACATGTTTGGTAGCATGTGATGAACCGGTTAAAAACCCAAGGTGTTCAATCTGCAAGAGCGCGAGCGCAAATTGCGTTGGAGCACCTTTGTTGCTAAACCATGCGTTTCAATGTTTTTCGGTGCTCGTGGGCCTGGTCTTGCCGCCCTGCACCTCACCTCACTGGCCCAACATTTTTCGGGTGGCAATCTGAAACCTAGATTGCTTGTGAGCTTGCCGTGCCTTGTCAACCAGGCCTCCCGCCGTCGGAGGCCTCACGGCGCTTTCCCTGACGTTCGAGTACCTACTCCTACTTCACCGACGGCGTAACTGCGGGTACTTTTTGCTTTCACGTACTGGGCCTCGTCATCGCCCGTGGGTGCTCCGACGCCGCGGCTGGGCAACTGCCACGGCCCCCGCAGGTCGGAAAAATTCCGCCTCTGAGTGCCCCCTCCTCCTTCGTCCTCCGCGGCCGCCCTGTCCGTCAGTGTCTCTTGTCCTGCATGCTGGGCAATTCGTTGTTCGGTGCCCCCGTTCAACTCTATCGCTGGTGCACCCATGCTGCCTCGCCGCCGACGGAAACCATATGTTCGAGACATTCGAATTTGAAACCCGTACAACCCCAGGTTTTTGAAAGATTGCGGCACACGCGCGCGACGACGCGCGCGTGTGAATTTCGCCAGTTGTTGCGCAAGCGATTCCTTGAAAACTGTTGTTTATTGATGACATCGTGCGCGCGCGTAGTATTTGTTGCAGATGGTGTAACGGGTGTGTCGATACCGGCCTGGTTGGGATAGTCTGCAGTCAAATTTCGGATGGGCGATGGGGCAAGATCATACGCAAATTGCAGTGAACAGGGGGGCGGGTAAATCCGGACGGGGTGTAGATCCGAATGTTCTGTTTGACTGTTTCAAAAGAGAATGAATCCACATGGTACAACTAATATAATGCAATTGTGCGAGGCCGCGAAACGACAGCGTAGCCGCCAGACCGCCACACCGGCCCAGGCGACGGGCGGCGACGAGGCGGCGATGGGGCGGCGACGGCGAGTACATAACCGCGAGAGCGGCACACTGGCCCAGACGACGGGCGGCGACGAGGCGGCGATGGAGCTGCGACGGGCACTATATGGTCGCCAGAGCAGCACACAGGCCCAGGCGACGGGCGGCGACGAGGCGGCGACGGAGCTGCGTCGGCGACATTATAGTCGCAAGAGCGGCACACCAGCCCAAATCATTACACCAGGAGCAAGAGCCCCCCATGCAAACACTGCTTGGGGAACAGTGCCGCGGATAATGCGAACGGGGACTTCCGTCCACAGAAAAAATAAATCACACCATAATCGGCCGTAATTCGTATGAGCGTAGGCGATACATCAAACCGCACCAGAAAGAGTGGGTAACGTGATTGCCAAGACTGGGCCTGCGGAGCATGAGAAGGAAGACGAGGAGGAGAAGGAGGAGAAGGAGAAAGAGGACCTGGAGGATAGTAAGAAAAACATCCGCGTGGGTAACCCGGATCCCAACCAACCGACAATGTAAACACAGAACGAACGCAGCACCTGCGATACGAAGCCACATCACGATCGCTCTGGACTCGGGAAGGGGGGGGGACGAGGCAAGCAGGGGCAGAAGGGGACAAGGAGCGGGAGGGGGGAAACATAGCAAATCCGCCTGGACGCGCCATCGCGAAAAACTTTAATAAAACCTAGCCGCCCTTGATATTTACCGCGCCGAAAGTGCAATGAACGCGCTAACACCTAAACATCGTGAGACGGAAGCGTGAGGAAAGGGAGGAGAAGGAGGAGGAGGAATGGGGGGAGGAGGAGGAGGAGGAGGAGGAAGAGGAGAAGGACGCACCGATATGGCGGGCTCGGGTCGGTACCTCTGTGAGAGGGCGGTCGGCGAGACTGAACGGCTCGAACCCAGTACTTGCTCATGTACCTTGCCAAGGAGCAAGGCTACCTGGATACGTTCCGACAGGATTTGAAATCGTTCGCGAAGCTGCTGACTTGAATGTTCTTTAACCTTGAGATGGGATCTAGGTTTCTGCCCCCCCTCATGCTGATGACGCGTCACTCCCACCCCGCGCGATGGATCCCCCTGACTGTTGGCGTGGCGTGGTGGACCCCCCCCCCGTGGGCGTGGAATGGTGGGGGGTGCCAGAGCCCCCCGTCCTCATGTGGGTGTGGGGTGGTGTTGCGGTGCTGTCGTCGTCGTCGTCGCCGTCGTTGTCGTTCCAACCCGCATCCCGCCCGGGACCCATCCCATCTGCGGGTACGGGGGGGGGGGCGTGAACCCTCGACCCAGGATCATATATCGCCTTCTTCTCCCCTCCTGCTCACGGGCGCTGGGGCACTGGCAATTGTCGGCCGTGTTCCGCGGGTATTGCACTGGGATGCTTGCAACATTGACACTTGAGTGTCAGCTATTCCTCCTCCTCCTCCTCCTCCTCCTCCTCCTGCTCCACCTCCTCGTCGTGCTCCCCCTCCTCCCTCCCGCGCGTACTGCCCCTCCTCCTGCTTTTCGCTCTTCCACTTCCTGATCACATCACCCACCACCATCATAGTAATCGCGGGCGCCGCCATGATAATCATCACCAACATCATAAACATCGTCATCAACATCAGCATCACCGTCATCATTTTCTAAGCGTCAAGATCCTCCCCCCCCACAGCCTTCCTCCTCCCCAGCACCATAATATACTGCTGCTGCGCCTCATCCTCCTCCCCTCCTGCGCCTTCTCATCAGTATCACCATTACCATCATCGTACTCGTATCCCTGATCCT